ATATATAAACATAGGAAAGTCATGTCTGATTCATTCTACTGTCTTTCCAATTCCTAACCCCCTTCCCTTCCTTTCATTCCCTTTGTCTAATCCAATGAACTTCTATTCTTCTACCAACCCCACCACCCCCTGTGGGCGTGCCCTTACGGTGTGTTAGCATCCACCCATCAGAAAGAACATTTGGCCTTTGGTTTGGGGGGATTGGCTTATTTCACTTAGCATGACAGCCTCCAGATCCATCCATTTACCGGCAAATGCCATAATCTCATTCTTCTTTATGGCTGATACTCCATTGTGTATAAGTACCACATTTTCTTTATCCAGTCATCTGTTGAAGGGCACCTAGGTTGGTTCCATAGCTTAGCTATAATGAATTGAGCTGCTGTCAACACTGATGTGGTGGAGTCTCCCTGTTCTGGTGGTCTCAGTCTTGCCCCAGTATCACTCCCTTCTAAATCAGCCTCCTCATTACATATTAAGTAACTTCTGTAATGCATATCTGAGGTTAGCACTACTCAAAACCCTCTCGGATCCAGAAGAGAAAGATTTACCCAGACAGAAAGCAGATCAGTGGTTGTGGGAGTTGGGAGACAGGATATTGCTAACAGGGAAGGTTTTCTTTGGGTTGATGAAAACATTTTGTAACTGGTTAGGGGTGATGTTGCACAACATTGTGAATGTACTAAATGCTACCGGATTGTGCACTTTAATATAGTTAAAAATGTTATGCTAAGTGTATTTTTTATCACACACACACACACACACACACACACACACACACACACACAGCCTGTAGGGATCAACTCTCTCCTCTCCTTGGTTGTCAAAAAGGTGTCCTTGGTCCCCCTGTGTCTGAGGGTTCAGTTCCTTCTCTTTTCCCTCCACTCCTTCAAGAACACAGACACTCACAGCCTGCTGCTGGTGCATGCAGTATTCCTGCCCTCTGAGTTTGCACTGGGTTCCTCATCTCTGCGGGGCATCCTTCCATCCCTACCCCACCTATCCAAGGACCTTCTCTTCCAAGTCTCCCTTCCAGGGCCCCCTGACAAGTCCGCATCAGCAAGGACAATGTGAACTTCGAATCCTCCATCTTGAAAGGCACATCTGGGAAGCCTTTACACCAGGCCTGCACCTCTGGATCCTGGGGGAATTAGCGATCGTTTTCTAAAAAATGAAATGGCTTGAAGGTTTATGTGTTTGCATAACCTTTTTTTTTTTTTTTTTTTGATTCATGACACATTTGTGACCCCCAGAAACATCTGGAACTCATGAGTTTAGCAGCACCCACATTGCATAGTTTCTGGTGACGAGAGGATTTCCATCCAGAAAGCCTTGAGATGAGTCTTGTCACAATTAAATTTCGCAATCTCGACCCTGCCACGTTTGTCACACACCTCCCAAAGCTGCCGAGTGCTTTGTGTCCTTGGTTTGGGAGTGGTGAGGCTTGGAAATACACAACCAAGTGGGTTATGGTTCCTCACTCAGAAATTTATTTTTTCGAGGCTAATGTTGGTAAAATGCTGTTTGGGTCTCAGCTTGGGAACGTGCGTGCTTGGGAATTGGAGGCGGTGAACAGCCTTTCTTTCTAAAGGAGCTTCACTTTCTGACCTGATGAGGCCATTTCCCGTGTCACTGGGTCCTTGCAGATGGCAGATGGCAGTCAGAGCTAGTGCAGGCAAGCCACTGGGAAAACACGATGACCCCACCCTCCTTCAGCTAGCCTTCTCCACCCGATTATCACAGACGTCACAGACACGTCCAGGGAGGTGTGAATCGAGACAGGAGTGGACGCCCAGGCAGAATGAATGAACTAAGGGGACCGCATGAGGAGGCTTGATAACGTTCAGCTTATCTCCTCCCTTGGTGGATCAGCGAGTCCCCTCTCACCACAGAACAGGAACAGTTCTCTGGGGTTTCTCTTCAGCTAGTCTTAAGGCCAGCCGCATCAGCATTGCTTCAGAATTGTTGGAATGCAGTTCTTAGCCCCCTCTCTGAACTTCGGAATTGGAGAGCCTATGTATTTTTATATAGGTTTAAGTGTGAGTCTGTTATTTAAAATAACAGCTTGAAGTTAAGTTTACTGAGACGAATATATGGAACACTGAATATCAATGTGGATATTTTGATCCTGGATTTTTAGCATGAATTATTGTTGGAAGCCTAATACCAGTAACTAATATATGCTTAAGACCAAGGCCAGGCACTATACTAAGTATTTCATGGACATTATTCCATTATATGCTTACACAACTCACAATGACTCTGAGAATTAATACGTCTTTTCCCAATTGTACAAAGAAATGGAGGCTCCGACAGGTTAAGTTACTCGCCCAAGGTCACACAGCTTGCTGTACCCTCTTGTCGTGCTCCTGCACTCTGATTTCTGAGCCCTGGCTATAAAGCACTGTGTTATCCTTCATTAGCCATAGCTCTGATTTTGGAGGCAGGATGACCTTTAGCTCTTGAGTACTTGGTTTATTGCTGTTCCAGACCATTGCTGCCAAACTCATTTTTAGTTGAAGCAGCTGTATTTTGTCACACAAATGACTCATTAAGTATCCTCAGTGAAGCTGAAACTGCACAGAAATCCCTCATCAGTTCCTCCCCTGGCTGAAAGCTTGGATGAGAATCTGCAGAAAGAAAATTCTAACCTAGGGTTGTGGGGAAGCAAAGGTTTCACTCTAGAGTTACCTGAGGGTCTCTTGTCACAAGTATGTTTACTTTTGGTCTGTGACAAAACATGGCACATCTTAGTTCTCCAGATGCAAACATGGACACAAATGGTGGATGAATCTATGGTCCTTGCAGTAGGGTATCAATGACCACGGGGGCTAGTGAGCATATGGCAGAAGTGTCCCTTTGTAGAAGCAGGGACCAGCCCTTCCCACAGCTGAAAGTGGTATCTGCCTCCATTAAGAGGGCTGTTAGGAAATGGGCACTGAACTTCTGTGACTAAGCTGCAGGGTTCAGTTCGAACATGAAGAATCATTGTGCAGGTACTGTGATCTGACTTAAAGCAATGGTATTTGTATCAGATGTCAGGGTTGTAGCTAGTTATCTTACGTACGTGACTCTGACAAACCATTCAAAAGCCCCAAACAGCCACACCACCTCCACGCTTCTGTAAATTGCAGGTGCTACCTGCAATTATATATGGATAACTGTGAGCAGCAGGGCAAGATTTTTTTCTTATAACGTTGATCCCAACTTACCTCTTAGCAAGATTGTGAGAAGATAAGTGTTGAGAGTTGGAGATATTTTCATATAATAAATATACTATTTTTTTTCTGCCTCAGATCCCTTATATTGATGCATGTAAAAGAACCCAGACTCTTGGGAAGGGCCTTGTGAAGGTGGTCTTTACATGCTGATTATAATTTGACAACTAGAAGTTTCTGCAGTGATCCCTTATTGCCTAGGTATATTCCCTTGACCCACTAGGAATTTCTCTCCATTGCCCACGTGTGACAGAGCACTCAGGCCATACTGATCTCTCCCAGAAGTGGCCTCCAAACACTCAGTGTCAGTCTTTCTGGAGGCTTCCTGTTGCCCTCTGCTTGAGATATTTACCCACACTGGATGCCCAATGAGTGCAGAGACCAACAAGACTCTTTCTGTCTACACAGAGCCCAGTTCAAGGGCTCACATCCACTTGAACTCACCTCAACTAGAAATGCTAGCAGAATGCTTCATATAGCCTGGTGAGGGCTTGGGCGACACAGCTGCACACACTGGTCCAATGGATGAGTCTATTGTAGAAAATAGACAACTATTTTCCTAAACGAGAATGTCCTACACTTAGGACAGCACATTCATCACACCTTGACTTTATGCAAAAGAAGAAAATGTATAAACACACTGAGCTCCAGTTAAGGATGTCATGCTGAAATCTTTGGGGGGTTACTTTGAAATGTGTCAAAAAATTAGGTGGATAAATGGATGCATAGTGGGATGGATGGAGGCACCCATATGTGAAACAAAATGAATAGTATTGCTGGGTGTGAACACCTGTAATCTCAGTGGCTCAGGAGGCTGAGGCAGGAGGATCCCAAGTTCAAAGCCCTCCTCAGCAACTTAGTGAGGCCCTAAGCAACTCAGTGAGATCCTGTCTCAAAATAAAATATAAAAAAATGGCTAGGGATATGGCTCAGTGGTTAAGTGCTCCTGGGTTCAATCCCTGGTATCAAACAAAAACAAAAACACATTAATAGTAATGAGGGAATCTAAGTAGTGGGTATATGGAATTTTATTTTCAAATTTGCTGTATATTTGAAATTTTTCTAGTATGATATTGTGGGAAAATAATGTTCTAACTGCTGCTAAAAAAGAAAAAAAAATGACTTTTTTTCAGGTGTCAAGGATTTCTTGTTACTTTTTAAAGAGAATCCAAATACACTCTTTATGATTGATAAGAAGCTAGAAAGAAAGGTGCCACTCAGTGTGAGGGCCAGTGGGGCTGGCTATCTGGAGGGTGGCATTGGGCAGGCATTGTACCCCGTTGCAGGCTGACCTGGCCTGGGGTGGAACTCCCCACCTCCAAGGCCCCAAAAGGTGAGACTTACAGTAAAGTACCTCCAAATGAGGGGACCTGTGGGCAGGCACATCACTCCCAAGAGGAAGAAGAGAGGTAATCCGCAAATCTTATACAGATGAAAGATGAACACAATTTCATACAAATCAAATAATTACACAATTTTAAAAAGTTTCCTACCTTTAAGTTACCTATTATTATTAAAACTATCAGAAATAAGATGATCAGCATATCCAAAAACTCAGATTGGTGGAATATGTTCTCACATTTGTATTTCTTTTTGGGGTTCTGGGGATTGAACCCAGGGTCTTGCCAGTACAAGGCAAAGTGCTGTACCACTGAGCCACATCCCAGCCCTCTTCTGGATTTTATAGAGACTTTAAACCCTCTGATCCAAATTAAAAACTTTTCATTTACTTAGAATATCTGCTTCTTTAAATTTCAAGTTTTCTTGTCTTTCTTCTTGAAGGTAATCGTTCGAGGTGGAGGACACATTTTACCCTTGGATCAGCCTCTGAGATCTTTTGACATGATCAATCGATTCATCTTTGGAAAAGGGTGGAATCCTTATGATTGACAGACAACTATTCTCCTAAACGAGAATGTCAGGAGCTTTAATCCGTGAAAAGAAAATTCTTAAAAACTGAAAATGTCTTATAAATAAGAAAATTATATTTTTATATCTGCAAAATGTTTCTCATCAATAAAAATTAATGATCCTTGAAACAAGCAAGTTTCTGAATTGCGGGGAGATGGTTTATCACGAAGGAAGTGAGCAAGAGGAAGGATCACATGACTTAACTTAGAGGATGGAGGGAAAGGATTCTGACATTGATCCTGACAGCAGGGGATGATGAGCTTCCGGGATCACAAGTAGGAATTTCTACTCCCTTTAAGAGTAAGTGAAAAGTGCAATAAAGAAATCAAGTTGTAATGCCTTGTTTTTTAAATAACAGAAGTTTTTCATATGATGCATCTGAAGGTGTTTGGTAAATATTATTGGATAAGAAGAGCCGATGATCAACCTCTAGGAAAGGATGAAGTTATAACAATTGTGATGAGATTTTTGGATATCTAGTCTTTGAGGAAAGTCAGCTTTGATTTATTTGAAATAGAAACCTTATATATAAAAAGAATGATGGAAAAGGAGTGATAGACCAGTTCATGATATCATGATATGCAGGGAATCTTATACAGAGAGCATACTTAATCAGATTAATTAGACTTTTCTTCTTCCCTCCCTCCCTTCCTTCCTTCTTTCTTGGTGGTTTGTTTGAGGGGATACACATTTACCAGGCAGCCTATAGGCCACATAAGATGATTCATTTTTAATTTGATTTATAAATTCTCTTAATTCTTTTACCAAAGAGCAACTTAATTTTTCTTCTTTCTTCCTTCCTTCCTTCCTTCCTTCCTTCCTTCCTTCCTTCCTTCCTTCCTTCCTTTCTTTCTCTTTCTTTCTTTCTTTCTTTTTTTCTTTCTTTCTTTTTCTTTCTTTCTTTCTTTTGAATCCAGGAGCACTTAACCACTAACTCACATCTCTGGCCCTATTTTGTATTTTATTTAGAGAGAGGATCTTGCTGAGTTAGTTAAGCCCTCACTAAATTGCTGGCCTTGAACTTGCAATCCTCCTGCCTCAGCCTCCCAAGCTTCTGGGATTACAGGCATGCACCACCATGCCCTGAAGAGAAACTGAATTTTATCAATGTTGGAGTTGAAATTTGAGATAGACTGACTTTAAAATATGTAGATATATACATGCATTAGTAATTTCCCAACTACACTCACATCTTGGAACATTGCTCCTATTTATGCGTTATGGAGACATCTCTTTGAAATTCTACAGCATGTTTGGCTTTACAGCATCACATCCCACCTATGAATTAGCTCACTGGATAATTAAATTTAAAATATGGATACCTGTTCTGGCTGAAAATGTTGAGTTTGTTCTTTTAATTTTGCATCTTGTGCCTGATTTCACTCAGGTTTGTGATCTTCCCCTCCCTGACCTTTTTCCTTTTTCTTTTCTTTCTTTCTATCTTCCTTTTTTTTTTAAGAGACATTGTTCATGCCCATGTGCTAGGTATCCTCAAATCAAACCTTCTGGTCAAAGAAGATTGCAATTATTGGAGAGGATAAGCTGGAGCATGGAGGTACAACCTCTTTTTATGAGCAGGCTAAATGGGATGCATTGGTTCCATAAATACATAGTGGAAAGGGCCCAGACCTTGGCTGGAGACCAGGGATTTTTGTCACAATGGACTACACATCCCTGGGGGGGTTGGGATAAGTCACTTCTCCATACTACTAGTATCAAAAACAGGTGGCCAGAGGAGCAGATCTCAGAGGTTCCTTTCAGTTCAGGAAGCACTGGAGTCTTACTTTTCTCACCAGGCACTAGAGATGGCTGATCCTCATTATTCACTGATTCTGTATTTGCGAACATCGTGGCCTACTTGCTAAAAATTTATTTGTAACCCACAAATCAATCGTGGCAAAAAATATGAGTTGTCCACCACACACATTCCCAGCTGAGATTAAACAAAGATTAAGCAAAGGTGATGCTCTGCTCCCCCGACCCAAAGCTTGGGTACTAGGAATTGAACCCAGGGTGTTTTGTTTTGAGACAGGGTCTTGCTAAATGGCTGAGGGTCTAAGTGGCTGAGGCTAGCCTAGAACTTTTGATCCCTCTGTCTCGGCCTCCTGAGAGTTGCTGGGATTACAGGAAGGTGCCTCCACGTCCAGCCACTTCACCTTATTTTTTCAGCTTTCCTAACTGTAAACAAGGGTCCTTTCCAGGTCTGTTTAGTGCCACGCTTTTTGCTTATTTGTGTGTGCTTTTCTTTTTGAAATTTTTTTAACTTGTTGATAGACATTTATTTTATTTATTTATTTTTATGTGGTGCTGAGGATCGAACCCAGGGCCTCACACATGCTAAGCAAACGCTCTACCACTGAGCCACACCTCAGCCCTGTGTGTGCTTTTCATTACTGATTTTGTCATCTACAATGGCCCAGGCATAGTGCTCAGGTACTGTCTAGTGTCCCTAGACACAAGAAGACTGATGAGCCTGACAGAGAAAATGCGAGTTGGATAAGATTTGTTCGGGCATGGGTTGTGCTGTTGGCCCAGAGTTCAGTGTTAATGAATCAATGATATGTATCAAATCAGGTGATTAAAAAACACACATCAAGCACGATTAGGTATTGATTGACAGAAATGCTGTGACCAGAGGCTGGAAGGAACTTAATCCTCTATTTCCCCTAGGGGCAATGATTCAGAGTTTGCTAATTCAGTGTTTGCAGAGATGTCAGAGAATATCACTACCATGAACAAACAGAATCAGTTGTATTTTCAAAGCTTTTAACACAGCAACTGGCACAAAACAATAGCTCAATAAATGGAAACAACTGAAATTTTCAGTTTTATCATCTCCCTGCCCCAGGTACTGAAATAGGGGGGAGTGTTGCTAGGCTATCTAGAAGCAGGCTTCCCCCATTACCTGAGGGTAGAGGTACTTGGAAACTGAATCTAGATGTTTTATTTTAAAAGAACAGAAGGAAAACCAGGCATTGTAGTGCAGGCCTATAATCCCAGTGGTTGCAGAGGCTGAGGCAGGAGGATCTTGAGTTCAAAGCCAGCCTCAGCAAAAGCAAGGTGCTAAGCAACTCAGTGAGACCCTGTCTCTAAATAAAATACAAAATAGGGCTGGGGATGTGGCTCAGTGGTCGAGTGTCCCTGAGTTGGTCCCAGTACCCCCCAAAAAACAAACAAACAAACAAACAAACAAAAAACAGAGGGAAGGAGAGTTTCAAGACTGAAGAAAAGCAAAGTTTCTTAATTGAACTGGAGAAAGTCTTTTGTGTAAGGAACCTCCCATGGATTACATATTCTCCATGGTCTGTCCAAGACAATCCACTGGTGTCCAAGGAGAAAATTCTAATATGTCTGTCAATGTTTATTTCATTTCAAAATGAGAGCACAGTTAAGCTTTATTAATATTTAGTATTGGATGCTCATCATGCTCTCCCCTGGCCTAGATACGAGACAGTCCAGTGTTCCATGTAACTAACATAAATGTAAATAGATTATATGGGTAAAGGGGGATGTTGTATGGAAGAGAGGTCCAACCGAAGCATCTCTCGTGGTCTGGGTCCAGCATGTTGTCAAGAATTGTGATTTAGATTCACATAAAGGTTCCTTTTTTTTTTTTTTTCCGAGTTTGAGGGATTGAACTCAGGGACACTCAACCACTGAGCCACATCCCCAGCCCTATTTTGTATTTTATTTAGAGATAAGGTCTCACTGAGTTGCTAGCACCTCGCTTTTGCTGAGTCTGGCTTTGAACTCAAGATCCTCCTGCCTCAGCCTCCAGAGCTGCTGGGATGACAGGTACACACCACTGTGCCCAGTTCACATATGTTTTTATCACTATGGTTGACTCATTAAAACCAACCCTTCCACTAGCAGGGCCTTTGGAACACTGTGCACTTTGGTGGGGAATGGGCACGCGGGCCTTTTGTACCACCCTGGTTGTCACATGTTGGTGCACCACAGGGTGCTGTGGGCTTGAGGAGAACCATGCCTTCCTTCTTGGACAAATACAAGCCTTACAGACTTGCTGTGATCTCCTGTCATGGCAAGGGAGTACTGTGAGTGTGTCACCTAACAGGTATATTTAAAATAGTAAACACATAATCTGCCCTTTCAAGGCAGAAGTGGGACTTTCACAATTAGTGAGAAAGGTAAAGGTTAAAAAAAAAAAATCGAAACTATGGCAAGAGCATTTTGAGAACATCTGTTTGTAAGTGTTCCCGTCTTTCTGGATGCACATTGCAAAAACAAAAACAAGCCTTAAAAGCCAACAAAAGTCTTTGCATAAGAGACAAATGAAGCTAAGAAATGATTTGGGGGAGTGGGTTCAACGCAGACCATCTACCCAGGCATTTCTTCCACTGGATCCTACACAGCTCAGCCAAGTGTCTTCTTCATCTCTGATGGACTCTGAAACCAAGCTTTAATGTAAACTGAACACATAATGGATGTTTAATTGCTATATTACCAAAGAATAACCCAGGATTTTCCAAAATTAGCAAAGCATATTCAACACACTGGTTCTATTAGAAAGCAAAAATATTTTGCATCATTAAAAAATCTAATGAAATTTTTAAAAGTTTGGTATTTTAAGTTTCATCTGCATCCTTTTATAGCTTCCACTGTAAAATTTTATAATGTATATGTTATTTGTATAATAGTGGACTGATCATGCTTTATAAATAATTACCCATATTTTATCCAATGTCTTCAGCGTTTTCTTTTTGTTTGTTTGTTTGTTTGTTTGCATTGCTGGACAAGCACGCTGCCCTGCCGCTGAATTACAGCCCCAGGGCCTGCCCCTCTCTCTCTCTCTCTCTCTCTCTCTCTCTCGGGATTGTGGGATTGAACCCAGGGGCATTTTACCACTGAGCTACATTCCCAGCCCATTTTTAAATTTTGACAAAATGTCTCTAACTTGCTGAGGCTGGCCTCACATATGATCCTCCTTCCTCAGCCTGCCTCAAGCAGCTGGGATTCCAGTCTTGCACCACAGCATCAAGCTAGCAATCTCTTAATGATAGGTTTGACAGCAAGAAGTTTGCAAATCACTGTTTGGGAGAACAGGAAAAGTCTAATTCAAAAGTAGTCTTAAAATTTTTAACAATTTCATTAATTTCTTTAAAAAAAAGGCATCTAGCAGAGGAGGGAGAGACAGAGTGAGAGAGGAAGGAAAGAGGGTGGCTTGCATCATCTGCTTTATTTTGAACATTGTGCCCAAATCTTGAAAGTTTAGAAGCTATATCCCTTCTGCCCAAGAGGAGCTAATACATATTTGAATTGTGATTCTCTGCTAAGTACTAATAACTATCATTTAATTACTCATTCATGGATGTTCCCAAATTATCCTTTCTTGACACCAGAAACATGACAGG